CATTTAAATTCTCGGTAAAAAAATTAAAAAAAAAAACAGAAAATTTAATGTTAATCAAACTTTGACCTCGAATAACTCTATAAGAAATCAATTTATCGAAAAATAATAAGAGACCTTTTTTGTAGAGCGTTAAATTTTATATAAGAAACTGCAATAATCATTACCATAAATTACTTTGATACAGAGGTATAAAATTCCAAACATAAATTAATTTTTTCCCATGTTAATTCAATGGGAAACTAAACTGCTGGAACGCCCATATTTGGTGAGGATTTTTTTTATATTAAATAAAAACATTTAAGGGGGTAAGAGCAAAAAAAATTTTTTTTTCAAGCACCCCAATATATATATATATATATATATATATATATATATACATATATATATATATATATATATATATATATATATATCTAAATATATAAAGATATAATATATATATATATATATATATATTATATCTTTATATATTTAGATAAACAATTTACCATCCCAAGTATACTTAAAAGCTCTTTTTTAGTTTTAGGTTCATTTAATTTAAAAATGGCTTGTATGTATTCTGGATCAGGTTTGACACCATCAGCTGAAAATATGACCAATGTAACCTCAGTTACTTTATACACAGAGAAAAGTAATCTCTTGATTTAAGAAAATGCATTTATTTGAAACAGTTTTTCTTGTATGAAGTAAAATTGTCTTATTCGTAGTAACTTCTTGTTTACAATAAGAAAATACTATTATTTGGTTGTAAATCATGAGTTTCTTGAAAACAACTTATTGTTGTGATTAATTGTAAAGAAATATTTATTTAGAGCAATTAATTAAATTGTTTGGATATATGTTGTATGGATTTAGTTTTATCAAATGTTAATACAAGCATATAATATCTTATTTTAACAAAATAATAGAATTGATACAATGTATGCCATATAATTAACGTAAACACGTGATTTGTTTGTTTCAAAAATACATTTACTTGAAGCAAATACATATTTATTTGCTTTTATGTCCACGTGACTCGCGGAGCCAATTAGAGCATTTGACTCCAAAGACAAAGACGCTTGTCCGGCAGCCGGCAGCATTTGCAAACAAACTCGCAGAGCGTCCTTGGCAAAGCGTTAAGACTCTTAACTTAAGAGAAGGAGGTGTTTAATCAACGGTTATAGTTTTGTGTTTAAGTGCTTATGTTTAATAGTATGGAAGAATTCTTCAAAGAAAATAATTTAACCCATTTGCTTTTTAGTTTTGTTGGTAAGTAAAAGTAATTTAGTTAATTAAAATTTTGTGTACCTAGGTAGTTTGGAAACTACAAAGTTATATGATAATATGGGTACCTATTTTATTTTGGATCATGCATGTATCAGACTTGACTTGTTGCTTTTAAATATAATTGCACATTTAACTTACAGGCCATAAACTAAAAATAAACCGTTTCTTTTTGTATTTGACAAGTGCAAGTAATTTTGGTTGGCAAACTATATGTATTTGTTTTTAAACTATAGGTACCTACCTAGGAAGGTGTTTTCAACAAAGATACCTATCTGATAATAATAAATTAAGTTTTTGAAAATGTTCAAATGTCCCATAAATATATTTGTTGTATTGCTTGTTTTGACTTATCCTCTTATGACTTTTACCCACAGACTTGGTGTATTTTATTAATGCCGTGCATTAATATTTACACTGAACTTCAGTGACTGAAGTATTTTTTGTTCCTATTTTTGTCCGCTCATATATTATATGTTTTTATTATTGTTAATTTTATATTGTGTGTTTTTAATGTTTATTGTAAATACGTATTTATAACAAAACAAGTGTACACTTGTTTTGTTCAAATAAAAAATATTGGAATAAACGTTTTTTAATTTAATTTTCCCGACCAAATATCAAGTAATTAACAACATTAAAATAAATAAATCATAGTATTAAAACAAGCAAACATTTGTTTGGTTTAATCACTATATATTTCGTGAAATTATAATATTAAAAGGTACTAATTATTTGTCTGAAATAAATTGTTTTCTTCATGTAAGTAAATATTTTGTTTCTTTAAGAAAGCCTCACATTTAATTTAAAAAAATGAATTACTTACTTCAAGTAAATGTTTTGTTTCTTTAAGTAAGATTCTACTAAACCTGAGATAAAAAGTCAACTAAATATTTACTTTTATTAAACAAACCATCAGTTTAAAAAGTCAAATAAACCCAAGTTTTCCACTAAATAAATATCTTCTTGTATCATATCGAAATAAATAATTTATTTGAGTCAAGACAGATATAGTAAAATCAAGAGATTACTTTTCTCTGTGTATTGTACTTTATTTTTATTAAATTTTAAACCAAACTTCTTAGCTCTTTTTATTAGTTCCCTAAGGATTTTATCATGTTCCTCTTCACTTGATGCTGCTATAATAAAGTCATCAAAATAGATACCCATTGGTAAATCACTAAATATTTTACTGTTTAATCTTTGGAAAACTTTTGGACTAACATTTAAGCCAAAACTTTTAAAACAATATTTTCCAAAAGGCGTTATAAATGTACAATATTCACTACTTACTTTATCAAGAGGAACATGGTAAAAACATTCTTTCAGGTCCAAAACTGTTTACATTGGTATTAATCTAATACTAGATTTTGTCTGTAATTGTTTCTAAACTTACAACCTACAGCAAAATGATTTAATTTTTTACATTTGGAACATGCTTTTCCATAAGCTGGATAAACAGAATGTTGTGTACCACACTTTCAACATTTATAAGTCTTTTTATTATTATTATAACTACCTGACTTTTTGCCTTAACACTTCTACCTCTTGTGGACTTTTTAGCTCCTTCTGGGAGAGAGATCCTGCACTGATGTTCATCTTTCTTTAATGTTAACTCCCGAATCCTCATCAGCCTCTCTTGAACCATTTGGTTTTGAATTCCCAACACGACTTTGTCCCTTATTAGTGACTCCTCCAGGTTCCCACAGTTACAGTATTTTGCTAGCATTTTGATATCAGTACGAAAATTCTCAAATTCCTCATTTTCATGTTGATTTCTTGAAAAAAAAAATCCTAAATACCCTTATTATAATCTTTTCTTTCTTCTTCCATCTTTCGATGAAGAAAGAAATACCTTGTATCAGCGATGTTTAAGAATGTTGCTATTTTGTTTGCTTTCCAGGTATACTTTAAAACTATTCAAAAACTTCAAAGTTTTTATTAGCATTAGCATCAAACACCATTTTCTTTGGCGGTTTAAACTCATGAGAGAGCGTCTCCATTTTATTTTTAGATTTCTTCTTAGTTTTTCTTATTATTATTGTATTTTAATTTTTCGTTTCACCTGACACCATATAACGTTCTTATAACGTATTTGTATTATGTTAATGAGACACTGTTCATATTTTATAAAGTATTATATTGAATTCTACTGGAGGGTATATATGAGTAAATTAGATGCAAAACTCGGTTTTTGCAAATTTTTAAAAATATATATTTTATCCTATTTATTTATATTACTGCACTGCCTACAGCATACCTAAGTAAACCAGATGTATAAGTTAGTATTTGTAGAATAAAATACATTTAAAAACTTAACGCAGATGCAAAACTGGGTATTTGTTTCTTCCTGTCGGATTTGCTGTTGACCAATCACGTCGCTAGTATACCCATTACGAGACGACATGACAATCACCTGATTAATTGTTATAACAATCACCTGATTAATTGTTATTTTTTGGTATTTGCACTTTTCACTTGCAAAACTTGGTCTTTGAACGAGGAAGATGCAAAACTATGTTTTTAAATATTTTGATTACAATTATTTACTAAAATACCTAATTTTAAAGATTTTTTTTTTTACTTTTTTGAATAAAAATGATGCAAAAGCACCTCTATTGCATTTTTTTTCAAAAATGATCTTATGAGCGGTTTTTCATGTTTTTCTTAAAATCACTTATCCTGCAAATACAGAGTTGTGCATCTAATATAACATATACTATAGCTACTTGTTACAAAATGGGTATTATTAAGTTAACAATTTCAGTACAACTTCTCTCATAAAAAGTAATTTACAAGTAATATGATTTTTTAATACTTGCATAAAACTGTGCGTGATAAAAAAAATAATTGCAAATTTAACTTTGCGTAGCAAAATACGTATAAAACACCTTTTTTGTTCAATCCTCTCTTAAAGGAACACTGTGTCTTTTTTTGCTTTCTGATCTTAAAAAAACAAGCAGCAATGATAAATTAGATTTTAGGATGTATTTACATATTTTTTGTTGTTTTCTAGAAAAATACAGTATAGTATACTTAAGTAACTAATTATAATTCTAACTACTTTAAAATGGTTTAAATTTTCCATATTTTATTTTTTTGGAAAATATCTTGTAGTTTCATTGGTTAATTATAAATGTAATTTATGATTTATATGACAATCTAAATTATGTTTTTATTAAAAATATATGTATACCTTTTAAACCGTTTAATATTAATTAACTTATTGAATTATTACTCAATAAACATTTAATTTCCAAATATACAATATTTTCAGATGTTAAATTGTCTTTAATTTGCATCCGATTTTAATAAATATATTTATACCAATTTAACAATTGTAGGTACAATATTATGGTAAATTGATTATATAGTATAGATAAGTACCTATAGGTGTTGCAAACGAAACGAAAATGAAAGAAAATAATCTTTGCACTTGTTTATTTTAAATCTGAATTGAAGATTTGACTTGCAAATCCAATAAGAAAACAATAGGTGAAAAGAAAAGTGGGTAAGGAAAAGCGAGTAAGGAGTAGGTAAGAAAGGAGGGCAGGCAGCTTTAAAGGCGCTCGGTATGCAGCCGCATCGGGGTGCATCACGGAAAACAGCCGGTCCTCGAAAAAGGACGAAGGGATCGGGCATAGTTTGTAACAGGTGTCGGTTTTGATCGATTTTCATGAGGGAAGAAACGACGCTTGCGCACCATCTCTACCCCGCGTTCAGTTTACAAGCGTCACGACGCATTTATAACCAGGGAGTGGTATTGTTACGCTTCCAACTGCAACTAAAAAACACAAAAACAAACAATATTTACCTAGTCTTTACGTGCATTTCATGTTTCTAAAGTGATTGTAGAGTATGCAGTGACTTTAAGTGGCAAGTGATGTTAGAAAGAGTGACATATAGCATGCGGGTACGGTCTGCAAGGTCGGTCGGTGAAAATGCAAACGCTGCCAGGCGGTAAGGACATGTCCGGCATTTTCGGTCGCGAAAAACGTCGTCGGTTCGATGGTTTCTAGACAGAATTGACCAAAGGCAGATTGTGTTGTTTACCTGTTGGAGAAACCGGCATCGTGTCACCACTACAACTTGTTGCTCGGACCTACCTACGGCGGCATCACTCAGTCGCCATCACCACTTGTTTCTGCAACCACCTGCCAACTTAAAAACAGCGCACCCGCCTGGAAACACTCCGCTCCATTAATTATTATCACCCAAAGCCTACAGGTAAACCAATCACCGATCCGAAATCATACAGGAAATATGATCCTTGCAAAAAACTTGCCCTATTAAAACGTATTTTGCATTAATCCTTTAGCAAATCCAATATGGTTGTTGATTGTGGAACTCTTTTCCCGCAACAGCATATACTATAATATAGTATATTATATACTGTATGTATACATATACATAGTCAGTTTATAATATTATGAACTTGTATGCTTTACAGCTTTGTTTTCAATATACAGTAAGTTGATACAAAAGTATGGTCATGACCATGGCGTGCACGCCAATGCTTTTTTATGACTTTAATATTAAAATCAGATTAAGCATTTTACAATACACCTTTTTGATCTCCTGCTTTCTTAATTTTTAAGAAAAAAAATCGTTCATCCGCATGTACAGGATGATCCCCTATAATGTCGCCCCCCTTTAACTTTTTTATTTTAAGTGTCCCAAAAAATTTAAAAGTGTGGTTATGTAGGTACTAAAAAATACTTTTTTTCTACGTAATAAAAAAAATGTAAAATTAATCAATATACAGGAAAAAACAAAAAATTTATTTTTTTTCAATGGATCACCCTATATATTAATTTATTTTTCGATTCCTTATGAAATTCTGAGCATAATTCATATAACAAACCATATCCTAAATTCAACTGTTTCTGAAATATTCGCATTCGAAATGTTATCATTAAATGTTTTTTTAAACTGTTAGAAATCAAGAAGCCTCAGTATACCAAAATTTTTATTGAAAATAAATTATTATAGTGACATTATGTCAATATGTCTTGGTAAATAAGTAAAAATGGCTTATTCAGACAGAGAAAGACAAACTATTTCAACTTATTATCTTAAAAATAATTTAAATATTTCAGAAACGGTATATGTATGTTATATGAAATATGCTTAGAATTTTACAAGGAATTGATAAATAAATACATATATAGGGTGATCCAATGAAAAAAATAAACTTTTTGTTTTTCCCTGTATACTGATCAATTTTTCAATTTTCTTTATACGTAGAAAAAAAGTATTTTTTAGTACCTACATAACCACACTTTGAAATTTTTTCGGACACTTAAAATAAAAAAGTTAAAGGGGGGCGACATTATAGGGGATCACCCTGTACCTATAATTAAAGATTTTTATTTTTTTTAATTATAAAATATAGAGAAAAAATGTAAGTAAAACAAAGTTCTATTTTTAATTACTTCATCTTAAAATAATATTAAACTCATAAAAATCAGTATCGTAGGTACCCAAATTTGATTTTTTTTCCAGTTGGGATGGCCCAGCATCGGCTCTGGATTTAATTTAATTACATTAAATTAGGCCATTTATCCATTACTAAAAACTTAAAATGTTTTATTAAATTTAACCAAGGGGTTTTCGAAAATAAAAAAATTTAATAACTTTACCACCCTGTATCTCGAAAACGAAGCTTTAAAACATACTCTCTAAAAATATTTAATTTGAATGCCTCAATGTTGCTGGTTTATTAGCATAGACAATTCTTTCGTCATAACAATTTTGTAAGGATACCCAAATTGAACCGTAAAATACGCCATGTTGTTGTGGCAAAAAGTCCCAATTGTGGAGAACGTCTTGGAATTGATAAATTAGGGTCTTTATCAACACTTTCCCCAACAGCAGCAACATTCTCTTCACTTTTACCGGAACTTTGTTGCACTGGCATGCGAAAGAAAGAGTGCTTTTCCACAGTTCGACGAATAGCGAGCACACTAGGCCGGTTATTACGACCATAATTTGGAAGTGCACGATAAGTTGCAATATAGAACGATTATTTTGATAAAAAAAATTGGATTATTTCCAAACATTGTTGAGGAGTGTATATTTTCATGATTAAATTGCACACCTTACTTAATATAACTGACAGTGACAGAAGATTTTGACACTTCCAATACGGCTACACTCTCGATTTAAAAACATATCTCTCTATTGAAAAACCCTTTACAATGTACATTGTACATAGGCATTTTCTTTAAACAAATAAACCTATTATCCTTATTGTCCTTATTCTTAGGATAAAGATTATAATAATAATAAGAACCATCCAAGGGCAACAACAATCCTTTTATTATGTACAACTAGGTAAACCCTGTGTTTAGTTTCGATTTTATTTTAATATTTTTGCTTTCTTTAATATCAAAAGCAAGATTTTGTATTAAACTTACCTTCGCAAACGTATTATAAAAACAGTTTTATTAGAAAATATCCAGTTTATACGTATGACTTAACTAATATTTCAATACCACCATGAAAAAATAAGTAACGAAGGATTAATTAATAATTAATTAATAAATAAACAAATTTTATAAATGAAATTTTTTTTATATCTAAAAAATATTATTTGACTGATTATATAATTGTTTTAGTGTTTGCAACAATGCCTCGTTGCTACATGGTAAAGAAACAAAGCACTAAGCATCAGTCGTCGCTACGGGACACGAGGCAGGAGGAAAACTGTTGGGAGCAGGCACCTTCTAGAGAACAATTAGCCCCTGACAGCCCCACGGAGGGCTGCGTGGCCCCTTCGCCCAGCTACACGTCGCTGACTAATCGCACAGAGGGTAATTATTGCATTTCAACTATAAGGTTTTTCACCTGGCTAATAAAATTGCACAGTTATAAATAAAATGGTATATAGCATTAGGATTATATTTTGTTTAGTTGATTTGACCTTAATTTTGTCGCTGAAGAGACATTTTCGGGTTTATATACGTTGTACAGGGTGCGGCAAAAAGGTTGCCCCATTTTCAAAGGGTCATTGTTGGGCTCGCCATTTTCAATCGTCATAATGAATCTGTCAGAAATATTTGGGATTTCAATAAAAATCAAAATAAGAAAAAATCTGTTTATTTTTAGGAAACACATATGGGCCATTCCACGCGTAACGGATAGGACAGTTGCCGTGTTTTTATTTACAAAATAATATTGTTCTATTATTTTACCAATGTCAAATTTTTATAAATAGTTCTAAACTAAAGCTGTTTAACAAGGTTTTTATTTGGCAAAATTTGGTATCGTGGTTGACTGTTTAATTCCTTAAAAACTAATAATTTAAAGCGTAACGAACGGGACTTTGTAATAGTCCCGCCCGTTACGCTTTAAATTATTAATTTTTAAGGAATTAAACAGTCAATCACGATACCTAATTTTGCCAAATAAAAACCTTTTTAAACAGCTTTTGTTTAGAACTATTTATAAAAATTTGACATTGGTAATATAATAGAACAATATTATTTTGTAAATAAAAACACGGCAACTGTCCTATCCGTTAAGCGTGGAATGGCCCATATTATTTCATACATTTCATGTTTTAAAAATAATGTCTTTTAAATGACAGCCGTTATTGTGAATGCACATTTAAAGCCTATTACCATTGAGTAAAGAACCCAACTTCCTTACTCAATAATTATATTGTTATTCTGGAAGTTATAAACTACCAGAACATATTTAATAAACGACGAAATTGAAAAGTCCGTAGGTAGTGGTTCCATTTAAAAAAGGAGGGATAGTATAATCTAATATAAGTTTGACAAAGACAGTTAATATAGAAGTAAATACAAATAAACAAAAGTAATTATAACGCTCTAGAAACGATATTGAAACGTTCTAGTAAAGTAGCAGCTACGTTCCAAATAGTAGCAGGGTTTATAGCTAGTGACATATTTGCTACCTTTTTTGAACTCAATAATTGTTCCCCACTTTAGTCGTAACTTAGTAATGAAAGAGTAATATAAAGAGACCGGCGACTGTCGCAAAACACTTTAAAGTTTCTTTAATAGTCTCATATACGTAACAAATACTTAAATTGTTGCTTGGGAGATGGCGAGATTCTTAATGGTGATAGATTTCTAGAAATTCAAGTTTATTGCTTTAACAAGTTTGATCGATTTTTATTAGATTTATGTAATTAAGGAGTCCATTTTAGTCGATTTGCTGTAATTAGGCAGTTATTTATACGGTGCACCGCGGTGATGTAAAAAAGTGGAATTTGAAATAATCGTGAGATTTAAAAAAAAAATCGTGAGCTTAAATGCGTATTTGCGAGAAGATCTCACGATAAATCGTGAGATCTGGGATGCCTGCCGAGCCTTGTAATATTTAAATTACTTTACTGTTTTGTTAATAAAATATTTGGGTTGAATTTAAGTTGATAGATGATTAAGTGTTTCATTAAATAATTAAGGCGAATAATAAACAAAATAAATATTTACCTGGAAGTGTGTAGGTATAAATATCGCTCTTGTGTGGGCTTTATATACATATAATTAATTTTAATTAGATTTATGTTAAATGTAATTAAAACATGCAGTAATAGGTAAAATAAACAAATTTAAAGCCATTATACGTTACAGATTTAATGATATATGCCACTATATTTATTGTTTAGATTAGAATATTTTTAAATCCAATAAATAATTAATTTTATATTCTATGTTGTTTGGCCGAGTAACAATATAAATTATGGTTTTGTTAGATTATTATCGTTTATTACAATGTTATATGTTTAAATTACATTTGTTATTGCGATAATATCAGATAGAATATGGATTGTTTAAAGGATAATTTATTTCTAAATCTAAAAATATATATATTTTGTTCGCATAGAGTAAAACAATTACAGAATTTCAAAGTGATGTCAGCATAATGGTTAACCTAACAACACAAAAAACCATTGAACACAGTAATACATAATAGTATATTCTGTAACAAGTTTGGAATACGGCATATTCCGCTCGAGTGAAAAGTTCGTCACACGAGCCGAAGGCGAGTTTGACAGTTTCACGAGAGCGGAATATGCAATTCCAAACGTGTTTCAGACTATACTTTTTCTACGCTGTCAAAAAATAATTTAATTGGCAGAAAATGAGGTTGGATCAGTCCAAAATTTGTTAGATATTAAACACATAGATATCGCAATCAGTGATTATTCTGTCATATTTAGTAATAGAAGTAGAAAATAGTATATTCTGTAACAAGTTTGGAATACATCATACGATCGAGTGAAAAGTTTGTCACACGAGCCAAAGGCGAGTTTGACGATTTCACGAGAGCGGAACATGCAATTCCAAACGTGTTTCTGACTATACTTTTTCTACGTTTCTAAAAAATTGAATTGCTAAAAAGTGAGCTTGGATAGGTCTAAAATTTGTTAGATATTAAACAGAGATGTCGCCACCAGTGTTCATTCCGTCCTCCGATGATGGAATAATTTATTGTACAATACTTTAAGATGTCATTCCAACTTAATATTAGAACGGCCATATTCCGTAATATAAGTAGAAAAAATATATTATTTATAAATCATGAAAACTTCAGTGTATTATATGTCAATATAATAAAAGGTTTATCAAAAAACATTTATGAGCATATTTCAGAAAATTTATGATTTAAACAAAATTACAGTTACACAACATTTATTTACGAATTTAAATGTTTGCATACTCGAATAAGGGGCTAATGCAATTGTTTCTCTATGGGCTAATGTCAAACCCAGCAAAGTCCATTTGAGTAATATTTTCACAATTAAAAAAAACTCCATTAATTAATTAATTAATTAATTATTTCCTTTATACAAAGAGATGTACCTGGTAATCTGGACAATAATAAGGTATGATATTTTTACTTATTTTAACTGGACTTCTAAAAGGCTGCATTTTTTATGTTATTGACATTTATGCGTCGACGTCAAAGTTAAATGTTAAATGCCAACAAGATTTGCATACTACATAATATGTTTTTATCTAAAAAAAACTAGATTAAATTTAAATACCAAATACAATATTAATCGCGTACTATCTCTCGTTTTAATACCATACACTTCTACGATTGCAAAGCGACTGCGACTGACTTGCCGAGCGCGAATTTTGTCATACGTTCGGCTATGTAGCAAGGAAATATGTATATGTTATGGCTAATGTGCAAACTTGGATAGTTTATAAACTAGCCAAACTGTCAGCTATTTTAATTGAAAACATGGAAAACATTGGATAATTTGTATACTATCCAATTCAGTTTGGCTAATATGAAAACCAAAATTTCTAGTAACACAAAATAGCCAAGCTTTAGCTAGTTTGTAAAATAATTAATTAGTGTATAGAAAAGTTTACAAACGAGGTGCATACTATACTTTTTCTACGACAAATACATATTATTATCTTAAAATGATTTAAATAAAAAATTTGTATAGAGCGCCATCTATGAAACAACAGGGGAAACTGTAAAATGTCACATTTTTACATTTTATAAACACAATTATAAAGGTTATAAATCGAAATGTATATTGAAAATTGACAGTTTTTCACAGTGAAAGTAAAGGAAATGTTTTATGAGGACTTTACAGTAGAGTCCGTGCCCGAATTTAAGTTATAGTTTACTGCCGGCGAAATTAAAAGGTCAGTACAATGTTCATATAAACTTTTCAAATATTGGCGTTGAGAAACTATTTAATATTTTTGTATTGAGATAATAAAATAATTTTCACATTTAGTATTATTTTTCAAGAAAGGCACTTTATTTTAACGATTGTATGACATTTGACAACTGTCAACTAACTTAAAACTAACTTCAGCCCGTGTCTAAAGCGCCGTAAAGCCACAACTTGTCAATGTGTATTTAAAAGGTCACTTAGTGTCATGGAAACATGTACGATAAAGGGCGTTTTAAAGGTGGGAGTGGACAAAATAATTTTTAAACTATTAAACCGATTCTTCCCAAATTTTGTGTAGGTTAAGGTTCCGTCGATAATATAATGAAAATTTTCTACAAAAGGCCCAGTGGCGGAGATTTTGGAGCGATTCCCCTTTTTACCCTCATATTTTCGACGACACTGGATTTTATTAGAAAATTATCAGATTTATTTTTATCCCTTTTCAATGTAAAAGCAAAACTTTTATGTTAATTTTTTATCAGATCAGTGGTTTCGAAGATATTTCAGTTTAAAATTTTAAAAACACTGTGTACACGGAACTTTTGTTATTTTAGAAATAAAAAATGATTTTTTTTCTGAACGATTGTATTGGGCCAATAAAAATTTACCAATGGAATAATCGCTTTTAATATGGTGGTTTTTGGGTTGGTTTGATTTTGTATTATAATAAAATTAAATTACGTTGATTGTAATTCTCAATCAACGTTACAATAAAACAACCTAAAAATATGACGGGATCAGTAAGAACTACACGATGACTCCTAGACGCTACACAGTGCTGTTCTGAGAGGTGATTTTGGGACTTTCTGTGAAACCTAATTTTTTTTATATTCTTGTTAATTAGGTCATAACTAAGAATTTAAGAGCAAAATAAAAAAAAAACTGACGGTTTGAATTGTTTTAATTGGCTGTTTATTAAAAATATTATGCACTCTTTCAACTATTTTACTGTTTTGTTGCAATAAACGTTCAAACTTTTAATCTAACCTTTGACGTATACATTTATGTTCCCTTAATTAATATATCCTTAAAGGTTGCCATGAAACTTAGATCTATTAAAAATTTATTTGACGTTTGAATTGTCATTTTCAGTATAGGTATTCTATAATTTTTGTTCTCTCAGAATCGCAAGTT